AGGGTGTCGTCGGGCCTGACTTCGTTCTGACATCGTGTGTCGTCAGGTTGTCGTCGGGCCTGACTTCGTTCTGACATCGTGTGTGTCGTCAGGGTGTCGTCGGGCCTGACTTCGTTCTGACATCGTGTGTAGTCAGGGTGAGGTCGAGTGTCGTCAGATGTAGTCGTCAGATGTCTGGCCACATTGAGCGTTCACCAAAGGAAAAAGGAACTCCCTTGTTTCTTGATTGCCTCGGTTTCTGTAGGAAAGCTCTCTCTAGGCCATTGGTATTGCTGGTGTGGTGGAGGAAATCGTTTTTGGAGAGCAAACCGCATATAGCTTTTGGTCGAAGACTTGAAGAAGCTGCAGTGCCTGAAGTCACGGAACTGGGGACGCGTTTTGGCAAAGCCAAGAGTCCCATTTGTTCACGCCTGCTTTGAGCGAGTCATGGACGCTACCTCCGTGGTGGCGATGGGACGATGATGTGCTCACTACCTTGCTGTGAAAAAGAATTACCACGCTGACCCACACACCGCTTTGTTTTGTCGCTGTTGCGTTTAATTATGTGGGGTTGGCGGTGTGTCCGCTTTAGGTGGCGGTGTCACCGCTGTAGGAACTGACATGTTCAACAGGCGGCTGCCTCGCCCCTCTTTGGTCTACAAACAGGGATGGTTTTAGAAGAGCACTCACACAATGAAAAAACCCAGGATTTACAAAAAATTCTTAAAACATAACAATTTACAACCTCAAAAAAACAGGTTTTTGTAAAAAAGTTTAAAAAGTTAAAAAAACAAGCTCTTGTCAAACACCTGCGCTCTACTTAGCCTACTTATAAGTATGGTTATAAGTTGGTCTAAGTAGTAAGGTCATAAGTCAGTATAAGTAAGTTTGTAAGTAATTTATAAGTAACTGTTCTGGCCTAAGTAACACGGACCTTTTGGTAGGAGTACAACTCTGACTCTGCTGTGGACAGAGCCATACAGGTTTGCCTGGAAGTCTCCCACTGGATGAGCGCGCCACCCAACATTGCAGCAATGCCTTGAACACTTCGACCACCTTGCGGAGCGAACGACACATCACTGTACATCTCCACCACATTCACGCTGCGCTCTTTGGGAAGGTCGCCATCAGGTCCTCGATCTCCTGGCCTGCAAGGTCCATAGAACAGGTAGAGCTCGGGGGTCTCGTTGAGGTACTCCAGAATCTGCTCCCCTAAGGCGACAGCCCATTTTGGATTCTTGGTTACCTGCCGTCCCAACATGCTCACCGCATAGCACAAGTCCGGCCTGGACCTCAAGGCGATCCACAAAATTTCCCCCGCGACGGACTGAGCTTCGCGGATGTGAGCAACAGTTACATCTTGTTCAAGTTCTTCAGGAGGCATCATGTCCTTGGCCATAGGTGAGGACCTCTTGCCAGTAACCTGTCGCCGCTTGATCAAGTCCCCGAGATAGGAAGGCTGCCCCAACATGATCTGGTCCTCGAAGCGCTTCATCTCATAGCCACAGAACCTGACCCACTGCTGGTGGTTCACCTCCTCCGGCACCGACGTTTGCCAGTGACTTTGGATTTCACGGATCAGGGCCTGGTGCACCTCCTCCCCACTGAGCACTAGGAGGTCGTCAACGTAGACCAACAGTAGCCCTTGCGGCTGTGCACATCCCTGCTTCATCACCCTCCACAAGTTGCGCTCGCGCGTCACCTCGAGGAAGAACTCCCTGTGAACCGCCCAATGTGCTGGTGAACTGGTAAACCCGTAAAGGGCTTGATCTATCAACCACACTTCGTCTGCCGCCGCCACGCCCAACTGGACCATGATGCGAGGAGGTTCGACAGCAACTGGTCGAGCATTTTCAGGTACGGCGTGGTGCCTGTAAGAACGCCGATTTGACATCTAGCGAGCTCACCCGCCACTCTTGATGCGCTGCTTGGCGTATTGCCGCTCTGATCAAAGTGCCGTCAGCACCTGAGGCGTAAGCCCCTCCTGGGCTGTTTTCTGGTGGCGGGTCTGCGCCGGGTGTGGCCATGTTCCCGCATATGACTGCGCGGGCACGTTTTGCACCGGTTCCGCCCTTGCGGACGCACACCATTTTGCCAGGCACTAATTCAGTGTTGTGTGGAAGTGAAGCTCTTGGAACTGGCCGAACTGCGGAGGTGTCACCCACCAGGACATTGTATTCATGCTCAAAGGCCGGCTTCCACTCCTCAGGGTTTGCACGCACTTCACTCAGCGGCACCGTCACTGTTTGCAGCACGGCGTCACCAGCTTGCCTGGCCAATCGCACCCTTTCGCTCTGCTCCTTGCGCGCCAGCTCGGCCAGGCGACCCTCGATCTCGTCGCGCCAACCCACGAAGTGCTCCACAAAGTTCCCCTGAACCCTGCCCTGCTCTTCATTCTCCGGCACGTAGTCCAACCATTGCTGTAGTTGGGCTTGCGCAACTTCATGTTGATGCTCCCACACCTGTTGCACCTTATCAAACTTCACCAGCCGCTTCCCCACATAGCCCTGCGCCTCTTCCTCCCCCGTGCCCAGCGTCCTTATAGCTCTGACACCTCTTGCGGAAGTCGCCGTCGACGATATAGGGAAGTCCAGCGGTTGGTCTTGCCAGATGTCCTCCTTGTCCACGGGCTGAGGGTCCAACGACGCAGCTGCATCCCCACCTGATGTAGCTTTGCGCGAAGTTGACAAAGGCGAAGAAGCCCCCCCCGTTGTAGGATTCGAAGCCCGTGGTGGACCTGGTACTTGTGGTTCACTTGTAGGAGGTTGTTTTCCCACCACCCTGTGCGTTGGCTTTCCAGGCTGTGGTTCCTCCTCCAGTTGAAGTGCAACTTCAGGACCTGCATCAGGAAGCGGTCGTAGTTCCTCCGCCTCCATATTAGGCTGAACCGCCTCCCTGACGTGCAAGATCTTTCCATCGGTGAGTTCAACCACCCACCCACCACTCATCAACGGGCACGGACATAGAAGTCGACCTCGAACAAAGGGAGCTGCCAGGCCACCTTCTTTATGCCATTTCTTCATCTTGACATAGACCGTGGCATAGAAGGGGATCATCGGCAACATAGGGACTCCCAAAGCCTCCAGCTGTTGTCGCCTTCTTTCCTCCGTGGCATACCTCATAGCCATGGGCCAAGCTTCTCGTCCACAACCTGCCTCCGCCAGTTTCACCCGAGTCTTTCTTTTCAGTTGGTTCACCTCAGACTCGATGTGGCCATTGGAGGCCGGATCATCACCGGCCGTGAACGTCTGCAAGATGCCCATTGTTGTGCACCACTTGTGCATTTGTCGACTCAACAGCTCCTTGGCTCGGTCTGAATGAAGTCGATTTGTGGCTATCCCCATAGCTCGGAACTTGATCAGGGTCCTCTGCATGGCCTCGATCACCATCTCCTGAGCACGAGATTCCAGCGGCTCCATGCGCACCACGTGGCGAACCGGGAGCTTCTTCTGGCTAGCCTCCAACTGCCGCGAACGCTGCCTCGTCGTAGTCCATGTCCGGGTTCAAGATGTCCTGCTCCTCCTCCTCCTGCGCCTCTTCACCGAGTTCGGCCGCAGGGTCACCCACAGCGCCTTCGGTGGGCCCCTGTGAGTCCGGCTGGACACCCCCCCCACTTGGCTGCTCCTCATCTTCTTGGCGCTCTCCTTGGTCACCTTGGTCATGAAGTCCATCCCCATCCTTCACGGCCTTAATCTCCTGGGTGTAGTCGGGAACCAACGCCACCGCCATGAGGGCATACTTGACTGGTCTTTTAGTGACCAGATCCACTGCGTTGGTCAACGAGCCCACAATGTCCACTGACACCGACCACGCTGATGACATTCGGTCTTCCATAGACCTTCTGCGATGAGGCTTTTGTGACCCCATCTGTTCAATGCACAGACGACAGTCCCTGCGGAACGGTCGATGGCCCAGGGCAAAGTGTTTCTTCCACCCCTCCACCTCCTTGGCTTTCATCGCGGCCACCTTGGGTTTCACCTCCACGAAGTTTTCCAAGTAGATCTGGATGGCCTTTTTGATGGCTGCGCGTAGCCCTGGTGCCCACAAAGCCCATGACTTGGACTGCGCAATGCTTTCCTCCGCGGAGTCCGGAAGCGCTTCATCCTTCAGGTTCTTGGCGAGGAGGTTGTGCAAGTCCTTCATGTGCGGCAAGTTCGTCATGATTGTTGTAGGTTTTCTCTTCTTATGACCCATAGCTCCTTGATCGAAGGTAACCATAGCCATGTTCTCCTCCATCTCCAGCCCACGAAGTTCCGGCCACGTCCAAAAGGAAGGCACCTGAGATTCCGCCGCCATGGACACCGGGTCTGCTGGAGACTCAAGCAGGAAGCCTGTGGGATCGCGAGCCACCTCCAAATCCCTCCGAGCTTCTTCCGCCATGTGGCACAACCCCACTTGTTTCAACACAAGGGCGGCATCATGATCTGCCAGCCGTTGTTCTCCTGCTGAAAGATGCGGTAGTCCAAAGCGATGTTCATGACGATCTCGTAGGGGCCGAGGTCCAGGTCTCCGGAAAGGCAATCTCGAAACCGACCGACGTGGAGGTCCTCCCAGGATCACCGCCAAGGAACCTTGCTTCGCCAAGGAGACCAAGAATGCCCACAAAACAGGGTTGTGGATGTCCTGATCCTTTCCATGCATCACATCCAACGCAATGAGCAATGACTTCACATCCGTGATCCTGCAGCTCCAAACATTCTTGAGCACGTTCACCAGCAAATAGATGCAGGATCACCTTTTTCGCCCTCAACAACCTTCTTCGGGTCCTCCGGTTCCTCCGCCATGTACCTGAAGATTCGTCGAGGCACTTCAGGGAATCGATGTTCCCACCACTTCATCACCTCGGGGTCCAGGTTGTCCTCCTGCTCGATGTCCAGGTATTTGCGACGCTCCGCGGCCTCAATCTCATGAATGAGCAGCAAGGCGTCCTTCTCGCATGCATCCCGAAGGTGCGACACGATCGTTCCCCTTCTCGGGTGTTCAACAGTACAACCAGATCTGGACCATGTCATCTTGTAACCCAGATCCACCAGTCCCCGAACCGGGACTATTGGTTCCACCGGCTGCTGCGACAAGAGCGTTCCAGTTGCTGGATCTTGATGCAGCTGGATCTGACCATGTGCCAGCTCCACCGTCACTAACTCGGCCTTCTCGATCTCCCCTTCCAGAGCCATCCTTAAAGGATGCGTAGCTCCCCCGTCTAGGAGACCCAGAGACTCACCCAACGCCGCCCCAGTGCCCATGTCCAGCGACTTCACGTTGATCGCCTTCAACGTCACGGAGTGCAGCGACTTCAACAACGCTGCGGCCTGCCCAACCAAGCCACCCAACTCAGCTGACGCCGTAGTGCCTCCAGAGTCACCAGCGGGAGTGTTGTCATCCTCCTTCACCTGCTTCTCCGGCTCGACGTCGTTCGCCTCCTTGTTTTTATGTTGACCTCCCACCCGTTCCGGGGTAGTCGGCTTGCTGTCACTGCCCTTCACCTTGGCCACCTTCGCGCTCTCCTCATTCACCTCCTTTGTTTTGACGATGTGAGGACAGTCTTTACGAGTGTGGTTGAGACCTGAGCAATGGAAGCATCTGTTGTCCTTGGGGTTCAACAGGGAGTGCTTGAACTTGCAGCGATCACCCCTGCGACATCCTTTTTCACTCAACCAAAAACGACAATCGTGCCGGCCTTCTCCAGCACCACCCTTGCCCACCTCCACCATTCATAGTTGTGGTTGCCGTCGTTGAAGCCAAGGTCATAGATTTCACCGCAGGAGCCGTTTTCGTAGTTCCTGCACCATTGACACCATGAGCCAACTCTTCACTCTCGGCCTGCAACAGCTCCGCAAAGGTCTTGATCGCGTCCGTCGTAGGTCGGGTGTCAATGTTCAACTGTTGACGACACACAGCAAGTCTGTATGCCGCTTGAGCGCCCGTCTTGGCGACGTAGTCCGAGGTCTTGGTCAGGACGCCCGCGAGAATCACCGGGTCCGGCAACATCACCGCCAGCTCTTGTGCCCTGTTCCACCACCGACGCCATTGCCTCAGGTTTGAAGCGACTTCCGACATTGGTCCAGAAGTCTTCAGGGCCGTCAAGTAACGGATGAGGTTCATCCTTTACAAACAACGTAAACAGCAGATGCGAAGCACTCAACTTCCTCGCAGCCACTGCTTCCGACCGAATCACTTCAGGCACCGCCTGCAGCAGCAAACTGGTCATTCTCCTCTCCGTCCTCGGCCACTTGGTTGCCGCCGCAGAGGGTCCTGGATCCAGCCTGAGCCGTTGGAGAGGTTCCGAGGACAACCATGTCGCATAGTGCTCCTCGACCCCTTTGATGGTTGTGGCCCACCAATCTCCTGCCGATGAACTTACATCTGCAAGTAGTGACTCTATGGTAACCAACCAATCGCCGAAGGTCAATGAGTTGGCTTCCAAGGGCAAAATTGGCAACTCAACATTGCGAAGGCTTTCGTTCATGCCTTCTTCACCTCCAAGACCAGCACCACCGCTATGTCCACCACCGTGAGGAGGTCCAGCGACTCCACCACCTCCACCCCCTGATCCCATGCCAGCAGGGTAGGGCCAAGGATAGCATGGTCCTGTAGGTCCCATTCCCATCGTCCCCATCCCAGCTCCTTGCATGCTAGGATGTTGACCATTCGCCGTCATAGTCCCGGCTCCTTGCATGCCAGGGTTCTGACCGTTCACCATCGTCCCCATCCCAGCTCCTTGCATGCCAGGATGTTGACCATTCATAGTAGTCCCCGAAGACACCGAAGACGACATAAGTTGTGTGCCAGCGCCCGGTTGTAGGCCTTGTCCCCCTTGAAGATGATGTCCTTGTCCAGCGGGTTGCCCACTGCCACCATCAACAGGTTGTCCGCCAACACCTGAGCCCTCTGGAACGGACTTGAAAGAGGCGTTCGATGAGGTCCTTCCCTCACCCACCATCTGTTTGACACCCTCCGCGAACCGCTGCTCAGCCTCGCGAAGACATTGAAGACGAAATAGTTCCACCCGATCCGTAGGTCCAACGCTGCCCGCCACACCGGCTTGTTGTTCTTGCAATTTGGCAGCTGTCCATGGGTTGATCGGCGAACTTTGAACTTGACTGAGCCCTGGTGGACTCCCACTTGCACCCTGAACTGGTTCTCCATGTGGTCCAGCTCCTGGTCGTTGACCTTGTCCCGCTTGTAGTGCCCCTTGAACTTGGACTTGACCTGCGGGTAGAGCACCACCATCATGAGGACCGCCGAGATCTCCACGTTCTGGAAGGACCGGTAGTTGGGCATGGATTCCACTCCCCAAGGCATTCCCTGGGAAAGGTGCAGACAAGAAGCTCAGCCCACCAAAAGCTTCTCTGGCCTGATGAAGTAGAGCAGCTGCACCTGTTCCAAAGCCACCACCAGGCTCCCCTTGCGCTCCACGAGGAAGAGGAAGTAGATTAGATCCCGCCGGCAGCGGAGGCACATCCGTGAACATCGGCACTTGCACCGTCTCCTGAGGTCTTGCTTGGACCGGGGTCTGCTTTGGCGTTGCCGCGGTCCTCTTCAGCGCAGGGGCCATGCTCGTGCTCGGCTCCAGAGATTGCGATCTCCTGGGTGGGGCCGACTTTGCTCGATGCTCCTGCAGCATCTCCTCCAGCTGCTCATCGGCGCTTTGTCTTTGCGCCTTCGACGAAGATCGTCTTCGGTCCATGGCGGCCATCAACCCGAACAAACGGGGTGGTCTTCAGCTACCGGGTTGGGCTCATAACCCATGTGAGTGCAATTCACTCGGACCTTTTCTTTCTTGAGCCAAACGTTGCCAAGTTAATGGCTGGTTTCGAACGGTTCGAAGGGGTTTCAAGAGTGCTTGGTACACTTCTTGTTTTGTGCGGACTTGTTTCCGACTCGCAACAACATTTAAATTCTCAACATCATGCCTGTATCAAGCAAGGAACCCTACTTGTATCCAGTGTACCCATGGTGACCATGGTCATGTGTGTTTTTGAAACACTCCAGCGCTTGCAAGTCAAGCGACATTGTGAATCAAGTTTCCAATTCCTGCTGAAAATATGCTGGCGGAACTGAGCAAAGCCACAGATAGAGGCTGATATCTTCCAATGGGCTCGATGAGGTGTGCATATGAAATGCAAGAAGCCAAGCTGATCAGCGTAATGGGGAGCGCAGTGAGAAAGCCCGCCACAATGCGAGCTCTGATTGACGTGGTGTCATTCTTCATCTCTGAAGATTCCTCCTGGACCCACAAAAGGATCCCACTCCCACAAGTGTATTGATTCAGAGCTGAAGGGAGGCTAGCTTGGCACAGCCTTGCTGACTCGGGCCAAAAAAGGCACTGAATGACAGAGTTGAGAGGCTTGTGACCTTCTGCCAGCAAACAATCTATCCTTGAGACTTCTCTACGGGAATCTAAAGCAAGAGGTAAGAATATACACCTTCAGCAACAAACGTTGCTGGTTGCCAGACCTGCACTCCAAGCCATCTGAAAACAATAAAGCACAATGCATGCTGCCAGTGACGCCCTGCCGGTGAGGCCTGGTGGGCCAGAGGAAATCGTGCCACGAGCCGCCAGTGTCCCTGCCTTCACAATCAACCCGAGTTTTCTTGTTGAACTGTTTGTGCACGACATGCCACAGCCAGTTGCAACGTGGAGCACAAAAACTCCAGACTCTGGTAAACTGAAAAACTACCCAACAAGAATAAGCTTTGCGAGTCGTCTATTAGAGGTAGACGAAGTGTGTCCCTGGTCCCTGGCCTCAATGTCATAGTGGAATTGCCGGATGAGGTCCATGCCTCTTTGAATCTTTGCGCAGCGATAAACAACAGTCAGGCAGGTATGGGTCTGGGTTGAGCATTATTTGTCAAGTTGGCAAAGTACATGGAAGAATACATCAGATGAACACGATATGTGGTTGAGGGTCGTTTTGTCCTCTTGCACCCCATACACCCCAGGCCCCAGACCATATATAAACAAAGCTTAGCTGGCTTAAAGCATCGTGCCTAGATCCGGCACGTAAGCGATTCGACCTGTCGTGCAAGAATTGGTTGCTAAAAGAAACACCTTCTTGCACAAAGGAATACCGTAGATGATGCGGCGTCTTGTTTCAGTCTCACCCGGTATATAGCCTAAGGAACGTGCACAATTCCAGTGTGCAAGCTGCAAACAAATTTTACTCTTGTGAGCCTCAACTTCATGTCCCTACAGCCCCCCATCCCCAAATCACGTCAGAGCCACCAAAAAATGGATCAAGGATCACAGCATGCGAGTGCGGATCTGACTGGCGCCTTAGTCAAAAGGCCTTTTGTCATCCAACATGGGGACTTGTGGCATCAAGAGACCCTGGCAAAAGAATGTACACAACCAACACAGTCGAGTGGAGCCCTACCCAAGCCTTCAATATCTCCAAGGTTTGAACTGTCCATACACACTTTGGGTCTACCCGTCTACCCTGCGTTGGCCCGTGCTGGGCGGCCACGCTCTTTCTGCGCGAGTGGATCGTTTTCCGAGTGGTTCACGTGACGGTCATGCTTGGCCTGCCGACTGCAAGCCCCCTTGTTGTCATGGCAGCTGAACTGAAAAATGCACTCAAAAAAAAACTGAGAAAGGGCTGGCTAGTGACCAGTGGCATCTAGTGGCAACAATGAGCCAGCGATTCACTGTCCTTCATCGATCTCCCCTCGTTGGGGTCGTACAAAGAGCGCATGCATGTCACCTAGGCCCGACTGACACCATGAAAGCCAAAGAGGCTTTCAGTGCAGGCGCAGCAAATCAAAAGCAGAGTTATACAATTCATCGGAACTGGTAACCACCCGACCAACTGGCATTCCGTTTTGAGAACTTAAATGCTAACTGATGGGGCCCTATTAAATGATTGTCAAAGGTATCAAAACGGTTGCCAAATGTTTTCGATCATTGCCTGTTCTTTCCTATGAATCAAATCACCAATGTGAGTGGACTTCGTTGACTTCAAGCCATACCATGACAAGTCTACTTGACTCATTGATGAAACGGATTGCTGAAACGGTCACTCGCGCTGGGATTCAAGCTGCTCCAGTCGACTGGTCCACACCGAAGACTCCGATGGTTGCCTTACGGGAACGGACAAACTCATACAATACGACCTACTTGATGCCTTCTTTTTAAGCCTGTGGCCCCCGCCAGTAAGGCGCCTACTTAATCAAGTAAGGCGACTAGTAAGCTACTAGGCTAAGTTAGCTAGGCTAAGTTGGCTACTAGGCGGGGGAGAGCTTCCTTGAAGAAGCGCTCGAACTGAAGAAGAGCCCCTAGTAGCTTCTTGTTCCTAGTAGTAAAGCCAGGAGACCCTAGTAGCGTCCTTGCTCCTAGTAGCCCCTAGTAGCGAACCTTGTTCCTAGATTTTTAGGGACCTTCAGATCCCATCCCCTCCTCCAAGAACAAATGTGCATTGGTTCGACGTCAAGCGACACGGTTCCAGCCAGGGCACATTCCAATAATTCACTACCAAAATGTTTCGGCTTTCCTGGCAATGGTCACAGTGCAAGGTGTAGGATGTTTAGGAACCCAACCATATCACCAGGGGAAGATCTCCCACGCTACATGTTCCATGCGCAGCTGTAGTCACGTGATATCACATCTTATCTTCAATCTCTGCATGTGTGTGTGTGTGTGTCAAACTGGGAGGAGTTTCTCCCTCTCTATCTCTCTCTTGTCTGTCAGATAGCCACTTAAGTGTCGGGAAAAACAAAAACCAAAAGTTCGCCTCAATGCAAAAGTGGTCCGACAATACGCTCAAATCAGTAAACACAAAAGTGGATAGCAGCCCCCTGGCAGCAGAAGTGGTCCTTCTTGATCCGGTTTTCCAAGCAACCGAGTTCGGTTTCATGAGGATGTTCCGGATTTGACATATGGCTTGAAATTCACAAGAACTTGGCTAGCGGCTAGCGGCTATTTGAAACTATGCCAGAAGAATGGAAGCGAGAAGGTGTTCTTTAAATGTCTTAAAATCCATTAATTCTGAATCCATCCTCAGCCATGGCAACAAGACACAAAGCGGCAGGCATGGAAGCAGCTTTGAAAGATCAGAGTTGTCTTTCTCCAACCAAGGCAACCAGGTCAAAGATTGTCAAATCTTTGTTTGCTGTGATAACACAATGGGGAATGAACTCCCAGTCTGGCGTCCACCTTGTCCAAGGTGATATAGCAGGTGGAAGTGCCACCAGCCTCAAAATCTGATGTATCTATCTCAATAGCAGAGCGGATTGATGAACATTCCCACTGCAGCACTGGCTACACACTGCGGAATATTCATGATACCCAACATCGACATCATTTGAGCACCGACCGCATCTCTGTGCTGGGCTGTTGGCATCGAACGTCCCGATCCGCGAGAGTTGGCCCGTGAAGGGGTCCACCTAGTCCATCCGCTCTTTTCCATTTTGTCTGTGAGAAAGAATGATCGACATCCGTTTTGTTTGATCGAGTTGTGAAAGGTCCGTCCCTAGCCAGGCACTTCCTAATAGCTTTATTGTTCCTAGTAGCGTCCTTGCTCCTAGTAGTAAGGCCAGGAGCCCATAGTAGCTTCTTGTTACTACCAGACTTTGGCTGGATGCCTTTATCTTTTGCATCTTGATTTTCGACTCAGTAGGTCCTCAAACCCAACAAAGTGTCCATGCGTTCGGAGCTGGACATCTCTGCACGCACTGAGGCTGGCACACTCCAGGTGTCGATTTGCCCGTTTTCTGCCACTGACTCTGTGCCTCACCAAGGAAGCCTTCCGATTTCCAGGCATTCCCAAACTAGTTAGCAATAGTGATGCTTGTGTGACTGAAGGGCTTTAGTCTCGTGAACATTACGTATCTGTCGTCTTAAGCTGCCGACATGTGTACATCACATTTCGCCTGCTCAAGCAGCACTGTTTGAAGCTGCGATTCAGGCTTCATACATTGAGCACGAAGTGAGAATTACACGAACGCTATCGTGCAAAGTGGAAGACCTATTGTGATGTCCATTGTTTTCGAGCCTTGAGTGCCATCGTGAGAAAGCCGGATTCATGACGTCTTCCTCCGGCGGCAGGACATGTTGGCTTTTCGTTGGTATATAGTGCAAGCAGATGGGATGGGATGGTAGGTATGGTAAGAGCACCCCAAACACATAGCACAATGTGCACAGGGATGCACAAGGATGCAGAAGCTCTATGGACAGTGTGGATGTGTTCTTGCGACTGGCACCTGTGATGCAGAGCGGGAAAAGGAGTTCGAACCTTCGAAACTGTTCGGTGCCCGTGGCATACAAGCTGTCAAGTGGCACAAAGAGGCACAAAGTACAGGAAGCTGGAAAGGTGTTGAGAAGCCTCATAATTAGGTGCAGGATCCAACCTGTCCTGATTGCCTCAAACCAGGAATGCAATCAAATCAGCAAGCACTAGATATATTAGCTATGGTATCTTGCTAATAGGTTGGAGGTCATCGCTATTAATCTGGACCTTGCTGAAAACTGCCTTTGTCTCGGTCATCTGTCGTGACACAGACAAATGGTCCTTCACCACCGAAAGGAGCACCATCGAGCCATCACTTGTGTCCATCCAAAAGGTGTAGAGACTGCAAAAAAGCGGGGACACTGCGGCACAAATATCGACTCTCCTTTTCTCAAAATGCTTGAAAAGTATCAGCTGTGCATTGTAGCACTAAGCCTGAATTATGGTATCTGGTGGCCTCTTCTTCGCCTCTTTGCCACGTGGTCCATGGGCAAGGTTGTCAAAACCTTGGTTAAGAACTACTCGGGAACTGCAACCTGACCCATGGAATATCATCGGCCAAAAGACAATGTCAAGGAAGATTCATACAAACTATACTCGTCTATACTCATAAACTGTTTGAATCAACATCGTCCACTCAGGAACCTAAACCGTGAAGGATCATAACATCCTCGACCGATGCTCATAAATCAGTGCAGACTTGAGGTGCATACCTGCCACGTCCACCTTGTGTTCTTCAACCAACCTGAACCTTCCGAGCTGACTGGATGTGGGTCCCCTGCGGGTGTAGCAGCTGACAACAATGAACTCCGAACGGCGGCCGGTTGGTTGAAAGGCCTCAGGGCACAGCGTAGGGCATCTCACAGTTCGAAAGAAATGTCTCTGTGTGTGTGACCCGGTTGCAACTAAGGAGAATAGATTTATGCGGAACACTCTACAAACCGAGCACGCCAGGCCACAAATTGACAGCCCTGATACAGTTCCGCACTGGCCGTTTCTCAGTTAGGTGAAGGTCGGCAGACTCGTATCCGCTTTGAGCTCGACTTGTGTTGGATCTTGCTTCTCTAAATTTGATGTTGTTCTGGAACTTAATACTGGATAGATACCTTTCGAGTGGACACCACATGCATTACTCAGGCCTCCGTGAAACCACTTAAGTTGAGCTACCGCCGGCCTCTTCCCAATTTTCCAAATACTCTTTCCGCGGTGTGCGCGCGTGTGTTCTGTCTTCCAGGAAAGCAATCGGTGGAATCTGAAGACCTTGCAACTGACTCCAAAAAGACTGTCGTAGCGACAAGTCTAATGTTTCTTAAACATCATTGAATATGTTCTATTGTTGTTTCACATGTTGCGCTTGCAGCTTCGCCAGACATACTACTTTACTTATACACTTACTTGAAGCAGCAGTCGAGGTGGTCGCTGTTCTGCCCCGGAACCCCTCCTCTGGCAATTCCCAAAACTGCGTGGATTGGAAAGTCAAACAATATCAACATCAGCAGAAAAAAGGGTGGAGAAAACAATAACAAACAAAAAACATCCTCCAACTGAACATCATTTGGGCCTCCCACAGCTGACAGTGGCTGCAACGACATGGGGATCACGTCAATTGTATCGTAAAGAACTAGCAACTGTTTAGTGCGGGTATTACGTTTAGCATCGTGTGATGGTCATGGTTTGTGCCTGAAATGCCTGACAGTATCGCTGAGACGCCTGAAATGGCTGAGACGGAGGGTTAGACTTTCGGCCTTGAAGAGGGGTAAGCAAAGATATACATACGCTGTGCGAAAACAAGGAATTCGAGAGCGGTGAATGAGCCGATAAACATGATAAACATGCTTGAATCGCTTAAATCTCAAGCTCTTCTGTCTGTAGCTAGGAGGTTGTAGCGCCATTTTCGCGCAGAAGCCGTGTAAGCCGTTGCTAGCAAAGGCTGAGAGCAGGTGAGAGTACCTGAGAGGATGTTGGCAAGCAACGGAAATACATTCTGCTAGTCTGGAGCAGTTGCTTGTATGACCCTGTTGCCAAGAGTATATATATATGGAAAACCACATGTAGGCTGCAACGATGCAGTTTGGGTAAACCCTCTTAGGTCAGCATCAAGATCCTCTGCAAAACAACTGATCAAGAACTATGTGAATGCAGTTCAAACCCTGGGCGCTCAGAAAGCAAACATAAGTCGGATAAGTATGTGACTAGTAGCTTCTAGCTACTAGTAGCGATGCACTTGTTCCTAGTTGCGATGCACCTTGTTACTAGTACCTTCTTGCTACTAGTAGTAATGCCCTTGTTACTAGTAGTGATGCCCTTGGCTCCACAAGCTGTCGCAATCTTTAACTTGCAGCCTGAAATGGCATCTCTTTTGGCCTTACACGCTTTGGGGTGGCACACCTCGCCTTTGCAAAAAATGGCTTGAATGAGAAGTGATTGAAGCTGCTCCAAGGAGTTCCCGACAAATCAAGAGGTTTCTCGAAAGTTAAAGAGTGCTCAATGACTCAACTCCTTGGAATTGGCTGAAAATGGAAACGTCAGTATGATCCTGGACCTTGCACACATAGCTGTCACATTAGCTGGAACGCACAAATCACAAATCGGGCAGAATCTTGAATCCAAAAACACTACATACAACTTTTCTACAACCTCCGGATTCAATTTGATTCAATGTCTTTGTCCACGGTCGCCGATCATCTGGCTGTAAATATTGCTGTCAAGCTCTTCATCAGACAGTGCCGCGATTGGCAGCCAGGCATGCTTGAGGGCAAGAGTCCCAAGCAAATTGGCAACAACGGAATGGACCCTACAAATACCTCAAGGAACCAAATGCTATCAGCCTTCATCAGTTGCTAGGCCTATCCAAACTCCTGCAGCATGTACGAATGCAGTGCAGTTAAGCCATACGGCTGGCATCTTTGCAAACTGAATATCTTAGCAATCTTAGCCTCATCGGAACTGCTTACGTACACCATCGGATACACAATTTGCGCCAGTTCAAAGGATCAGGACACTCAAAGGACTATTAGGACTCCCGCCATTTCCAATGCCAAACAATTGAAAAGCTCGCGACTCTTGGCCCAAACTACTGTACACGGGCCTGTGGTTTGGAAAAGTTCTGCTTCTCCAGTGGATGTTGACAAAGGATCTTTCATCCACATAAATGGATTTGTCCTTTCAAATAATGTGCAGGGGTTGGGGACCTTGCTCATGATGCAAATTCACCAGCCGAGCAGCAACCCTGTGACCCCAGGACATTCAACCAAAAGGGAGGGCCTGTGTGCATGTCGCCTAGACCATGGTGTCTGACTAAGTTCGAGGCAACGGGAAGCGGGAAGCAGAACTTGGCTAGTCGGCATTATTTAACACAGGAAAAAACTGATCACTGTACTCCAGGCCTCAGTCAAGAGCAAGTCCTCGCACTTGGTCCTAGTCCGCAACCTTTATCGAGTCAATAAAATGGAGGATGAATCTGTATGCGACTGTAGGTTAAATTCAACTCCGGTTCACGTTTTGAATGAGGAAATGATAGGAAATGGCTCTAAAAATGGTGATTGCGCGAACACAGGTTCAGCCTTGTGCACTCTGAGCGCCCAGCACTGCCGTCTGCAGGTCCAAGGCACCCACGGTGGACTCAGAAGCCAGGGGAACCTCCAAGCAGCAAAGGCAGCCAGAGCCAAGGAAAGGAGCACTTTTCTTGGTTATTGGATCAAATGCTTCCGCGCCTTCACTTGTGCCCGCACGCTCCAAGTGGAAGTGTGTGTGTGTGTGTCCACCCCTGGACAAAGGGTCTTCCACCACCACTCTTTCCATGCTTTTCAACTACCTTGGACAACCACCTTATATGGGCAGGGGGCGACAGGGTCACTGCATAGCTGTCGCCAACGAAGCTCTATGCAGATGACCAGGATGCAGGGACTGATCATCCCTGTGTACCTGCCACCGCAACTTTTGACCACGCTGTCTAATCTGCCTGGTTTGTTTCCATGGTTCTTCATGATACCTTCCCCCTAAACCACTTCCTCCCCAGCAGCGCTGCAGCTTGAGCCGCTTCGTCACCGCAGTCAAGGGAAACAACCTTTGTTCAAACACCTACAATTTTCTCGGACCTTTCGCCATGCTGTTCCACCACCTTCCTTCCCAGCGGAGAGATTGAGCTTTAACGGAAAACCAATGTCGAAGTGTGTTCCGCTCAGCCGTCCCACTCGGGTGCTGAGTGTGATCCCCGTCACAGGGGCGCCGATCTTGCATGGGAAAGCAACCACCCCAACGCACTACCACTCACTGGACTCTCACAGGAAGGCACCGACACCCTCACCGAATCAACAGACATACCGGCCGCCGGGCCAAAAAACGGTTCTTGAAGAATACATCGGATTTCAGCTTTCAGATTTCGGATCCGTCATTTCATTTCTCCAGGCCATGTTCGTGTTTCCATGTTTTGCCATATTGATGCCGCGATTCTTTCATCGGCAGAACTCAAGGTTGGGCATTAGAGCTCTTCAGTCTAATTCGAGATGCATGAACACACACCTACCAACAAGCTCACAACTAGCATCACCTTACAACATACTCTCCGTCGACACCAGAGATGAGACTTTCAACAACAACATGACAATACAACTCGGCACTTCTCCGCTGCTTTTTGCTGCCGCGCCGCGCCGTGCCATAGCTACGACCACGACATGCATTTTCCGTTGCCATACGCTCACGCCACGCCACCACCATTACCTACCACACAACCTCAACCCACATGGCCGCTGCCACAGCCATCAACTGCACCCACCTTTCCCACGACACAACCATCGGCATACCCTCACCCACAACCACAACCATTTCAACCGCCACCTTTTTTGTCCAATCCTACCGCCACTGCACTGACCTACGGCACACCATCCACTTGGACGCTTGTGCAACCATGTCACGTGCCACCGCAGCCCACACATCCAACTCCACTATTTCCGTCAGCAGCACCTCCCCCTTCATACCTGTTGCCACCACTTCATCCCACACCACCGGCTGAACTTCCTCCCCCCACTACACTGACACATCCCCCTCCAACACAGCAACAGACCGCGATTGCCAATCATCCATCCACAGACCCACAATGCGCCATCCCCCAGGGCGTTTGGCAACCCTATTCAGCCTTTCCCCCAGTCACACAGCCTCCACCCCAACCATTGCCCCCGCCACCACCTCCACAAACCATCAACGCCTCACCACCAGTCCAGCCTCCACTCCCACACCAGACACCATCCGATCCAGCACCACCAATCCAACACATCCCCACAACCGCCACGGACGCTCCATTGCCGGTCCAAAACACGACCCCTCCAGCTACTGTATCCCAACATTCTGCATCACCATCGCTTGCATCAGCCACACCAGCACCCGGACCCTCACTACCTGCACCAGACAAGCTTGACACCACTGTCTCACCAGCACCACAACCACTTTCCCCGCAGCCACCACACAGCAGTCGCCGCCACCACCACAAGAACCGACACAAATCCGACCATCACCGCAGAGGACGCCACCGCCACCGCCGCCGACATCGACATCACCACCACTCCAAGCACCACAGCACAACCCGGCGACGGCGTTCGCCCTCGACATCCACCTACACATCCAGCCTTACACCATCCCGCAGTCGCTCACCACCACAACCCATCGATTTACGCCCCAACACTGAACACACCAACCCAGACCCCTCTCAATTTCCCACCACAGCCGTCCTTCGTCGCCCAATCAACCGTTGGCGACCTCCACCCAACTTTCACACCTTTACACCTGCAGACCAAATCCTGGAATGGCTTGAATTCCACGCCACCCAACTCGACAACCCCAACCGACCACAACACCAGTACATTGCCAATCTCCTCACAGACTGCAACATCACCTACAAGGAGATCACCGATTTCCGGCAATACACCCACGCCAAGTGGAACGACACAACTCACCAATACGACCAATTCCAATACTACGCCTACGCCATTTCACTTCCTTTCCTCAACACCAAAGCCACAACACCAGAACCGCCTGCGGTTTCCCGAGCCACATCAACCCACCGGGAAGTCGCCCACATCAACGCAGGCCACACAGGCCCTGTCGGCAACATTTCCAACATTCTACGCCAAGGCCGATTTTTACCCAGCACACTCCACTTTGCCAACTACCCTGGATTTTTTGCCCAGGGCGTTCGCATCACCCACAACCAACCCCATGACCACAACGAATTTGCCCGCATCATCCACAACACCTGGCAACTCCACAAGAACTCCCATTCCCTTATCATCACACTCCTTGCTTGGGGTGCTGCCACAAAATATACCTCCGGAGGTGAGGAACACGCCATGAACCTCCTTAACGATCACCATGGTGCAGTCTTCCATCAGAAGGGCCGCTGCTGGGTGATCCACCCGGACCACGCCATTGTCAAAGGACTGGCCTGGTCCACAAACTCCACTCCACCTGACACATAACACCACTGTCCCACACCTACACACCACTACCACCTCCACATCCACCTTTGGTTTCACACCACCACCTAACCTGTGCTCGTAGCAGCCAAAAACAGCCTCCTGCAGCAGCCACGCGAATTTTG